CCTGCCTCTGCTACTTTGTGCAAACGCTCCACGATCTTGAACCTCATGTGTTGCGGTGACCTGCTGCGACTGACCTGGAAACAGATGGAGCAGACGTCGTTGTGCTGCTGCAGCTGCTGAGCCGTGGCTCTGGGCAGGGAGTTGATCTTCTTCGCCGCTTCCTGCCGGAGCAGGAAGCTCCTCCAGCCCGACTGAGCTCGGAGCCAAACGTTGAAGTACGAGTGGATGATGATGACGGAGGCGCCCATCCAGCTCCACTCGCCGAACAGCGACTCCCAGGTGCCGTACGCCACCACGCACAGCGCCACCACGAACTCCAGCACCCGGCTGACGGCGTTCACCCAGTAGATCACTTCGTCCAGGCTCTCGATGGGGTCGCTGCGAAACAGCTCCACCATAAAGAGGGAGTAGATCAGCATCGTGCCTGTAACCTGGAAAAAAACATCAGTGTTTCTTAGAACATTAAAAATGCTCAACAGTAGAAAAAAAATGTTATGATAGCAGCTGGATTTAGCCAATTTATGCCTGTCATGGACTTGAAAAATGAATCACAAACATGATTCTGTTCGTACAATAGATCCACACTGGTTTGTAAAACGCACAAGCAGTTTTTAATAGAATATAGCAGCTTAGGTCGTATCACCATGTCAGTGTTTATTCCACAGCGAGCAAACATAGCACAGGGTTTCTAGACAATTAAGAACTTCCCACCATGTTTGGAATCTTTTCCTACTGTTTCTCCTCTAAACAAGCATGTTTTTTGCACATTTTTTGTTATTATTCTACCATATTATTGATTAATACTTAAGAAATATAACAGTTTTTAAAGCCAACATATTGTTAACTGAATATATCCTTTTCCTGAGACATTTATCCAACAATGCAGATGAAGAGGACTCACATTTTGCTATTCAAATGCTGTGAAAAAACAAACAAACAAAAAAAAGACCAACGTATAAAGCTGAATCTCACTGGAACAGTTTCAAGAACGTACAGCAAAAAAGCATTTAAAGATGTTTATAAAGACAGACCAGAAAAATAAGTGTGTAAAACTGATTTCCTTCTATTTTTTTAGGCTATTTTACCTGTTAATCTATTTAAATTGTTTTAATGTTTTGTATAAGTGTGAGTTTGATGTAATTGTAGTTGTCGTTTTATTTATTTATTTATTTTTTTAAACTTTATTGCTTATTATATGAGTGTGAACACTCGAGAGCGAGGACATTTTATTGTAAATATGGACCCCAGGAAAAGTTTTGGGATCACAATAAACTAAAAGAAACACACATTTTTGTAATTATATTTCAATTTATTGCTATTTCAGACATTTAATGCATAAAAATGTGACAAAATTTCTAAAAAAATAGTGCAAATTAATTATGTGAGGTGCACCGCATCTGCCGCAGTGCCGTTTAAAAAAAGAATATGACCACTGAGGGGCGCCACAGTGAGGAATTTTCCAGTCCAACATTGGGAAAGGAAGCAAAACTTCCTACAACTGGACCCCAACAGCATGTTTATATGAAGTAGTTATGTGAAAATGAATATCTTTTACAGAATGAAATACAATCCAATGAGGTGTTTTTTCAACTGGTTAAAATGGATGCAAATTAAACTGCAGTCAGTGATCTTGTATTTCATTTTCTGCTAAATCTGAACTGTGTTTTAATAGCGGCCGCAATTATATTCAAGGTTTTTCAGTCACAGAACTTTTGTAGCTTCAAATCCTTTCTGATTCTGATCAACACATGTACTGCTAAGAAGTGTACAGCTTAATCTTTTCCACATTCCAAAAACAGACAAACACTGAAGTCTCTTTACCTGAAGGGAGGTCAGCATGCAGCTGGACACCAGTATCAGCAGCCAGAAGTCCATGTGGAAGAACTGGGAGATTTTATAAGCCATAAACACTGGGAACACCAGCAGAAGCAGACACATGCTGAGGCCGCGGAAATGTTTCCACAGACTCCTGGAAGCGCAGAACAAACAGAAAGGAATGACAAATTATGTACTTTTAAGTCACTCACATTTTGCATGGAGAGATAAAAGTGAGCGCTGCTGCCGTTACCTGTTGCGCGACGCACCCAGAGCCAGAATAACTGGGTCTGTTATTTCTATCATTGACTGCAGGGTTGAAGTCACCACGATGAAGAGGATGATGCTGAGGAGGAAGGTGCGCTGTAGTGCCTGCATATCTAACAGGCCGGTCTGAAGGGCGAGCAGCAGCAGAGTGACGCCTTCGGTCACTCCTCTGAGAACAAAAAGGAGTTCAAGTTACACCAAAATGCAAGAGAGTTACAGCTTTGACTCTAGGCTTGAACCGTACACAAGTATTTTTATTTGTTTTTTGGAAAATAACACATAAATGAAGTATAAATCAGTACAAACAAGACTCTCTTCATGTCACCCAGACACATTAAATAAAAAGGATAGTGAATTAACATTTAAAGTCTAGACAATATCAATTTCTTCTACATAAAATCTGTGCAATATCACTGTTTTTTGAATATACAGATATGTGCAATGTCGTTATTTTCCACATCCAGAGGATTCTGTGCAATATCTACATGAGGGATGTGTGGAATGGAATGAAGACTATCACTGGCTTCAAATTAAAGGCGGATCAGACTGATGGAGGTCTGGACAGAGCTAACGAACTGAACATGTTCTTC